AAGTTACTGTACCGCTGCCACTGAAAACCGCGAAAGTGAGAGTCGCAAACAAGGCGTCGTACCTGGAGATGCTTGGGTAGTGTACTTTTTCGAAGGATAACCCTTGAGAGAAGTCGCTGACGCATAAGTAGTCGATCGTTGAGCGCAACATCAAGGAACGATATGTAGGGCCGAAGGGCAGCGGCTTCAGCGAATACTCGGACAAAATTTGCGTTAGTATAATACGCGGTGTAGACGGCGCAGAGCATGTCCAGTCAATATTTAAATCACCCAGCAGCACGGTAAAGTCGTGCGGTTCATCGCAGCCGCGAGAAACTTCACGGCACCGACACGCATCGACACAAAGAGGAACTCGGGTCTCTCACGATAGACGTCCGGCTGAAGCGACCGCGCCACAATTCGGCATTGAATAGATTCGTGCACATACACAGCTACTCCGACACCCCTCTTACCAATCCAATCAACACGCAGCAAATTATAACCCGCAATTCCGAATCGCTAGGAGCTCCTAGATGGCTTGAGCCAAGACTCACTAATACATAGTATGTGCACGCCTCGGTTGATAATCAACAAGCGCACGTCGCAAAAAAGAAAGAGAGAGAGAGAGAGAGAGGCTTACACCACACCCTATTGAGCGGTGTACACATTACAGGCATGTTGCAGCATTATGAGCATGTAAATAAATTTTAATTTTAATTTTAATAAATTTTAATTGGAAGAAACACACGACACTCTTGGCTTTAGGAGAAAAAAGTAAAACCGCGAAGTGACTTTAACCTCTTTAATTTGTTACTGCGAAGTCCTCTTAAACTCTTACATTGATATTATTAAAACATAATTTATTAAATTGATTGTTACTTGATTTACCTTTATTAGTTTGAGTATCAATAATACACCGGTCTTTCGTAACTTCCAGGCCATCAAGATACTTTTCATCTTCTGCGATGATATTTTATGTTAAATTTGATTTATAAAAACTATTGATTTATAAAAAGTAAGAATCACTTACTGCTCCGCATCAATATTTTCATCGGAAAATATTTTTCTCCCCATTTTCCAAACCATTTGTTATTTACAAATTTCGTATGATCACTAGGTAAGACGCTATATTCTCCTGATGGCCCGTCCCAAAACACCAAACAAAAATCCATCTTCACAAATATTAATCACGAATAAAATATTGTATTTAAGCTTGTAATGTTGGACTTTAAACTTGTAATGATGGAATGAGTTAAATTTTTTGACAATTTGTGACAGTTTAGTGAATGCAGACTAACGTTAGTTTGAATGTACTGAAATTGCAGCGCTCAAATTTTTGTATTATCATGTATAAATAAAGAACATCATTTAAAAAAAAGGAAAAAAAAAACAACAACAGAACATGATACTGCTGAAAATTGTAACTGTTCTACATTCATAAATTTTTCTGAGCATGCAACTAACAAAGGATCAAGTTTCTCCTCAAAGATTCGAAGACAGCAGTAGAAAAACAATTAGTTTTTAGTAAGAACAACGATGTTAGTGCATGCGGCTGGCTGCATTGCAACAGCTGTCACGCGCAGCAGACATGCAGACGGTGAAAATATTTAAAACACTTAGGTCGCGCCACCACTACGCCTACACCTATGTAGCAGTTGCCGCCTTGTCGCCACAACAATCAGATCGAGTGTTCTTTATGGGACAAAATAGTCCATTTTCGATCTCGTCCAGTTTTAAAACGAATTGACTTAAAAAGATTCTACGAACGGCATCAAATTCGTAATTTTTTAATCTATCAAACCCTACCGGCTCCTAAAGTCCTTGTGAATGTCCCTGTATATTTTTTAGTACATGCGCTGAATGTGCACAATACGTTTATCGCACCACTCATGGCGCTGAAGACGGCAATAGAATTTTTTCAGTGATAGCGATAACGAACGAGTTAGACATCTACACGGTAGTGTATACCGTAAACTTAACCAAACGCTGAGATATTACAAAGGTATTTAAATGCTCATTACTTTATTTCTAAAAAACTACTCATAATAAAAACTGTTGAATATCGATAGTCGTGTTCAGGGATTTCATTAAAACTATGGATAACCTCACTCTATTTCGTAATTCAAAAAATAAAAAATTTATTTTTTCCGTTTACACATCAAATTGCATTTTACTATTACCAATCGATTTTCAAAGCATAACTAGCCATAGAAACCTAATTTAGGCTCAATCCAATAACCCTGTCCAGAGATATTACCTTTCAAAGTTGTTTCGCTCCAAACTGGTCACTCGAGCTCGGATTTTTCAAAATTTTGACCCATTCGAAATATAATTTAGACCACCATTAAATTCAGTAGACTTTTATTTACAAGAAATAATATATCTCTGTTTGGGGACTTTCGTGAAGGAGCCCCCTTAATCCAGCTAAAGTTCTTTCATTTTATAAGACCATTTAAGTTGTTTACAACATGATGTGTTATCGGATTATTATTTAATAGATCACAATTCTCGATTGTTACAATCATGTAAGCTAAGTTATATAAGATGTAATTATTAAATAAGTACAGTTAAAGTTGAATGTTATCGTATTGTGTCGATGATAGACAATGCTTTTTATAAGAAAATAAATGATTGCTTTAGTTGAGAGTCCATAGTATGGTTTGTAATCTTTTAATTATACGAGTTTCTTATGATTTTTTGATTGTGTACCTTTTACAAAGTTTTTGATAATTATTAAGGAGTTAAAATCATTAAAATTGTTAGGATTTTTTTTCATTACTAAAAATTCATCACAGAGAGAATCGGTTCCTACGTTTCAATCGTTTTATTTCCTATCTTTATTTAATGATTTAACGTTATGTATGGAATTTATTACATATTGATCCATAAGTACGGATAAAAAAATTCCCTGAATAAATACTAGTGTAGGATACAAGCCCTCAACAGTATTCAAAAATTTGTGTAATTATTAGCTTATTAAAGCTTCTGGTTCTAGTCCAGGCTTTTGCATTACCTGAGTCGATCACTACAGAAGTACTTGCAGTCCACTTTAATGACATTCCACTTGCTCTTAATTTTTTTTTTTCAACAGCCCCTGATAAATGATGACTCTTGGTAGGACTGGAACTAGCCTTGAAGAAAATAGTCCAGCCTCTCTGAGATGCCCACTTGTCCTTGAAGTATTTTCCTTTGCTCGTGATGAACTTCATTTTCATCGTTGTTAATGATATAAGATCTGGAAATACAGCTTTCTTCGGGTAATACTTTTACTGCGACTGTAGGGAGTGAATAAAATGCAACATTTTATCATTTACAGAAAGCTAGGGAAAATATTTTTTTCTGTTGTGATCTACTAACCTTAGCTCAAATACAAACATGAACTATAGTCACACAAACACAATGTAGTGGTTTATTATAGATCAAAAAGTGGATGAAAGCGATGAATGAGTACCAAGTAAAATGTGCAAGATTTTTTAAACAATCTTTACCCAGTAACAATTTACCTGCTTACAAGCACCATTTTCAACTATGGTGAAGCAACCAGGAGCATGGTCATGGAAAAATTGGCGTTGTCGAATCGAGCAACAAATAGACGAATACCACGACCACCAAGACTGCTAGAATACCACTTATCGTTGTTGCTCGTAACTCTCCACTCTTTTATTTGCATTCCAACTGACGGTTGCAAGAAGAAGGCGTTGAGACTTTCCATCGCAGGATTCAAACGAATAATTGGCTCACAGGAAAATCAGGAAACTGTGTTGCGTAGGTTTCAGGACTCGCCTTTTTCTTATTTGTCCCATTACTAAACAAATAAAAAGAAGCAGTTGGAGCAAACAGGCATGTTATCAAGAATAGTCATGCTTTTTCAACATAACTTGGTCTTGCTGGCAACTCACTAGATGACTAAACAGTTGTTCCTCAGCGTATCTTATTGCTTGTCAATAACTTGTGCATTGCGATGATAAAATAGTAGAAGTTACATGGTTTTAATCCTGAAACAAAAAAACTTTCACACACACACAAAGTATCAAGTTATTCTGGTGCATTTATTTACAACAAATAATTATTGTTACTTATCTGACAGTGTTCGTTGACATCAAGCCACTTTAAAGGGAGAACCTTGAACACTCGGTAGCAACTTTATTAAGTATGCTCTTCTTGCAGCAGATCTAGTGTGCCCTCACTTCTCAATATGCTGACTCCAATTCCAAGATTACCAACGTTGACGATTACCCTGACTCCAGGAACTTTTAAACGTAAACACTAGCAGACGACGCAAAGGTGCACTGCTCTTTCTTTGCTTTTATGGCAAAAGACTGGCCACCCTTGTAGGGACTCAGAACTCTGCAGTACTGACTCCGTCCTCCTCGCTTGCTTGCGATTGCAGCGCTTCTTCATTGTAGCGGTCTACCCGCTCACTATGTTTTCCTTCTTTTTTTTACGACTTCGAGTCAGGGCAGTCGCCTCACGAGTCACTAAGTCAATAAATTCACTATTGTTGCAGTTATGAATTGGCTCCTTGATTTCTCCTTCTCGACTGAACTCCTGGGCTTATGGGAGCTCGTCCTGATCCCAGAGTCTACCTCGGCATTACGGACATAATCCTATACCCTTGTAGGGCAAGCGTGCTCGAGAGGAAGGGAGAGATAACCTGGGCAAAAGAAATAGACGTTATTGCGTGTACTGTACTCTCGTTTATTGAACTGTGGTCCGACTGTTCAAGTCGGTAGGCGCAGTTAGACTGACTACAAGTGTGTAAACCACTCTCTCTCTCTCCTCTCCTAGACTCGTGATTCTAGCCTACACTGAGCTATGTGGTAGGGGGGAGTCCCTATACCCTACAGACTCTAACGCCATCTCTGGTCAACCAAGAGAAACAATACGCGATGTTGCTATTTAGGGTCAGTGCCTGGAAAGAATCACTTTCCCTTGGGTGTACATAAAAACGAGCAGTCTATTTCTCTCATATGTCTATGATCGCAAATGCGTCCAAAGACAAAGCCTTTGTAACAAAGACCCGTACTAGCCAGGGTGCCAAGTAAATTTGATGGAAATATAACGAAAGTAGGTACATTTTTTCATAATATATAACAGTCAATGCTTAAAACGTCAGCATGGCTTTACATCGTTGTTATGGCACAGGAAATTCAGATCTACTACAGTACCTTCAAAGTAAGAGGGGTTACTTTGTGTATCGTGTCCAAACAATTACTGAAATTTGTACACATTCATTAATTATATTAAGTCAATTAGCGTTTTTATCACTCAAATAGATATAAATTTCTTGTTGACAGGAAAAGGGATACTGAAAACCTACAAGGTATTCAATACAATGAGTCAAGTAGACAGAGGGAAATATGTATGTTCTGGCAATGCATACATGGATGCACCTGCTTCTATTGGCTATGGTGCTACCATTAGTGCTCCTCACATGGTAAATGTAGACATTTCCTGTTTTACACCTTTTACAACCTATTTCTAGCAAACTTTTTATTCAAAATTTGTAAATTGTTAACAGTATACTAAATCGTACATGCAAAACTGGGTGCAAAAGAATAAATAATCATTAATATATCTTCAAAGCAGGACCGAGTTAAAGTTTTAAAACAAAATAATTAGTACTTTTTCAGCATGCTCATGCTCTGGAACACTTAGCAGATAAATTGCAAGATGGAGGTAAAGTTTTAGATGTTGGGTTTGGTTCCGGGTATTTGACAGTGTGCTTGGCATTAATGGTTGGTCCAAAAGGTGTTTCTGTTGGAATTGAACATATACCTCAACTCAAGGAAATTGCAACAAAAAATATTGAGAATGACCATCCTGAACTTTTGGAAACGGGCAAAGTTGAATTAGTTGGTAAGTGGTTATATACATAACGTTATACACAACAATGTTACTTTAAAATTATAGAGTATAATGTAGAACAATGTTGAAAGACACTTTTTAGTTTGTTTAATTATTTCAAATTATGTTTCACGTCAAATATTAATGATAGTTTTCTTAATAGTAATTAACTAAAAAAAATAACAAAAGAAATTGCCATTGGAGTTAGATAATTTCAATCATTTTAAACTGTCATGTGTTTAGTTTTTAGTGGTGCTCATAGGGTCACACAAAACCGTATATTGTATGTTGCTGCACAAAATATGAAAAATAGTTTGATCAAATAAATGCAGAATAATTGGCTTCGTAAAAGTGCAGTTTAGGACACCCTTTGAAAAGTTTTAGCTATACAGTTTCCGCAGTGCTGCCAACCTAGCGTGGCACTAAAAATTCAAAATTGTGAGCGCGGTAAATCTGAATTTCTTTGCTGGAATAAAAATTATTTGCGCCCTCGCGAGCTTTGCTCGCTCGGTCGCGCTGAAAAAAAATAAACAAATCTTATTAAGTATCGACAGAACGATTTCCAACCTCATAGTTAAAAAATACAAATTTTTTCAGCAGAAAAATTTAAAATGACCGCTTTCATAATTTTAAATTTCCCGCATTACACTACGTTGGCAGCACTATGACACCTGTAGCTTACTTCTCAAAGGGTGTCCTAAACTGCACATCCGCCATCGGCTTTTATCAACTATACCATATTTGTAGAGTGATGGGTATTTTGTTTCCACACACGCTGCTACATATATAATGCAAACAAAAAAGTATCTTCTAGTTTATAAAAAATTAAATTTTAATGTTACTTTACAGTCGGTGATGGTAGATTAGGTTATCTGCCCCAGGCACCATATGATGCCATCCATGTTGGAGCAGCAGCACCAGAAGTTCCCGAAAATGTAAGCTAAACGGTTAAATATATTTTTTTTCAGAAATGTAATTGTTTAGTCAGGGCGCCAGAGGGTACTTGTGTACACCAACACCAAGTGAGATCTCAGGTAACTCTATCTTATGCTCAAGACTGAGATCTCAGCTAAGATTTCTTAAAAGGTATTTTTATACCAAAAAAAAATTTCTCAATTAATTTTACAGCATTCAAGGTTTCCTCATTGATGTTATTATTTGGATGGTAGATCGAAAAACACATGTTTTAAAGTATTTTACATCAATTTTTGAGAAATAAAATAATTTTTTTTTCGTCTGAATTGCTTTCGGAGATGAGATATCATATAAGACTTACCTAATGAAAACATGAAAAATTTATTTTATTTTTTCAAAAATAACATGGGGGTTATTATGGACTATAAGTCACGTTTAAAGATGTGGTTATCACCAGATTTGATGTACCATTTTAATGGTAACAACAGCACAACTTTGAATGCTGTAAATTTTTTTTTTTGAAGATATACTGCTATAGGCGCCTCATGCGTAAGAGTAAATTAGTGAGCTTTGAGCGAGTGAAGAGACAATTTTTGCCATTTGAGGCTCATGGGGAAAGGCGTAAGCTTGAAAACGCAGCATTTAGATTAAATATACGCCACGATGTACATGTATGTATGGATATACATATACATACATCCTCTCCTTTTGCCATTTGAGGTTCATGGGGAAAAGCGTAAGCTTGAAAACGCAGCATTTAGCATATATATACGCCACGATGTATATGTGTGTATGGTTACATATATGGATATATATACATATATGGATATATATATCCTCTTCTAAAAGAATGAGTGTCACGTGTCTGTCGACAGAATACGTCGTGATCTGATTGGTCGCGAGTGACGAAAGGCGGTACATTTAAATGTACATATGGGATTAAGTAGACAAGCGCTGGCTAATCGAGTTCGTTTTATTCGTATGACCTTAAATTTATTTTTAAAATTTGATCATTCGACTTAGATTAAATAATTATTAGAAATATGTACAATTAAAAAAGTTTGGGGAGTTGGCGCGCTAATCGCGCAGGGGACGAACCCCCCTAGTACAAGCATATGACGAAAGTTCTCAGGAGCTTTAAATGGCAGCTGACCAGCGTCCTATCAGTGTCTCCTCACTCCCTCAAAGCTCACTAGAGTGAATCAACAATTTCGGATTGGCGACCTTGAGAAAATGTGTAACGGAAGTAAATTTTGCATGTAACTCCTCCTTAACCCCGCTGCCCCTGCCATACCCACCTGAAAAAGAAAAACGGAATTCAATGTGTAATTGATTTTGTAATACCTTCAGGAAAGCCATATGGCATTACATTTGATTTTACGTATGGCATTACATAAGGGATTTTAGCTTGGTATTGCCACATGTAATTCCATTTGAAAAAAGACATGGAATTACAAATTGGAAGAAGGAAAAAAATTTTTGTCATCTAGAAATAACTGCAGAATACTGTAATGCGTCATTTACTGTGAACAATTAACGTTACTATCTGGATGATAACTCTGATACAAAGGGGTTCAAGTTCTATTTTAGAAATGAAAAAAAAATTTAAAAAGTAAATTTTATATAGAAGTAACATCAACTAAACCCCCTTGTTTTGGAGTTATCATCCTGATGGTAAGATAAGTTGTCAACTACAAATAACTTATTATGATATTTGCAGTTATTTCTAGATGATAAACATTTTTTCTTTTTTCAATTAGTAATTCCATGTGTTTTTCCATATGGAATTACATATGGCATCACTAAGCTAAAACCCCTTATGTAATGCCATTCGTAAAACCATGTGTAATTATGCCATATGGCTTTCCGGAAAGTACTACAGAGGTAATTCTACATAGAAGTCAGTCATTTTTTTTTCAGATGAGTACCGCCACGTGTCGTTTCCCCTTTACCACCCCACATTATACAATGCCACACTACAGCACAGCACACGGAAAACATTTTTGTGTAAAAGAAGTACGCATTACTCGATTCGAGCTAGGAAAGTCCAAGTGGGTACAGAACTCATACAGTTCAACTAACTGTGTGCCACTTAGCTCAAAATGTTGTACTCATACAGCTCAAGGCAGTGTTGAATTTTATAAGTCCGTGGAGGGGGTATTCTACAAACCCCAAGGGTTGGGCTATTTGAGTGCAACCTCCAGAGCGCTTGGCTTCGGCCATGTGTATATGTATAGCGCATCAACCTATCGTAAAACCTTCGCGCCACTTGTATAAGCTGACGCTAGTGCTGAGAAAAGACTTTGACTAGCATAGTTAAACTCTCTTCTACCTGCGTGAGCCAACAAGCAGCAAGCAGGGCCGCGACTGATCAACGGGGTACTGCTGCTGTCCTGTTTGCTCGCATTCCATCAGTGGCTCACCTCAACTGAGGCGTTGGAAGCTAGCCCGCCGTCTCAGCTTATTTAGCGCCCAGCCGTCCAGCAATAAACAAGCTCCGCACGCCGTGCTTGTGGCCAGAGCACGTGCTCATGGCATTATAAATCGAATATTTATTTTTGCTTGAAATCAAGTTAATTACTTTATTTTCATCATATCTCTCATAAATAATTATGATTAAAGTTAACAAGCACACAAGACTTTATTTTGCCTAACACGAATCCCGCTCCCAAAGCAATTCTACAAGTGTTGACCCGACTTAGAACAGCATGACGTGAGTTTCAGTTATTTTTTTTAGTGCTTTTCACTTGCGATGATTCTGTGCACGCTAGTATAACTTAAGAGGCAAAAAAACTGTTAGGCTGGTTTTATTTGCGCTAACTTTTGACTCTTTCTGCGAGTGCAATTGCTCGGGAAGTGCCTGTGACACGTGGAAGATTTGACCAGGGAGACGCTTAGCCAAATGTGCCTATGAGGACGTGCTCGAGGCATTTCTCTTGAGTGCAATACACGTCGAAAACCAGACAGGCCCCCCCGCCGAGATAGTAGACACACGCGCCCGCAGCTGATCCCCTGGTCGCGGCAGAGGAAAAGGTCGCACGACAGCATCTAAACGCTCCAACAGCGAGCATGACGACCCTCTGCTTCGGCTCTCGGACTCGTTCCTAACGACCCGGACGCCCTACTGTTGGGCTGTGCTGTTTTCCTTTTCGCTGCCACCAACGACAGCTCCCAAGAAGAGCCCACAGATACGCCTCGTCACACCGACCAGTAAACAAGGGAAAATCAAGGTAACCTCTCTGACTCTGCTAACCTTTTCGAAGATTCTATGGAGGTAAACGGCCTCATGACGTCACATAAATGCGTGCTGCATCTATTTAGGCGTGCTATGCTAAGGCTTATAGATTCTACAAGCAGAGGCACTCTTCCACACCAACAACATAACGGACGATGTAGCCAAATTGTATGCCATTTTTAGTGCTTTGGATAGCAAAACGACGTCCGAGCTCGCCGATATAGTCAGTGCCCTTTCAGCTACAAACAAATACAAGACGCTCAACAAAATCATTTTGAAGTGTACAACAGAATCAGAGGAGCAGAAGCTACAAAGCTTCCTCACTGACCTAAGGCTGGACAACATGAAGCCTTCGCAATTATGGCGGAAAAGGAAGCAACTCGTAGGATCTTGAGTCTCGGACTAGACACTCACAGTCAAATAGTGCTCTTTTTCCAGTGCACGCCCAAAATTTACTTAACATTTTCAAACCTGATATCGTTGAAGACATGCTTCAAGTAGCAGGCTAAATCTTTAATACGACTGGAGTAGGTGTGTTAAAGAATTGATAGTCGGGTCAACCAGACTCTGGCTGCGTTCACAGTGAGAAAATTTTCTGGAAGCCGAGAATTCTGGTACCCTTGAACTCCGAATGACCCTAGCGCCATCTAGAATGATTTCGTGATTCAAAAAATCCCTAGGACTCTAGGTTAGCTGAGCATATCCAAGATCAGTGATTATTTGCAGCCTCAACTATCCTTGACTAGCATCGGATCCTATCGTAAAAGCCATTGCATCGGTATACCTTAACTTTGCCCGGCGAACCACTGTTGAGTAGACAAAGCACATTGTTAAGCTTTCCAGACAATTCAGGACTTTTACTAGCTCGTCATGGAATACAACACATACGATATCGATCACTCCCTGGACTATTCACATACAACCAAGCAGGGCATGCCAACGCAGCTCGTGTAAACCCCGAATATGGCACGCATATAACATGAAAGTCTTGGGCGATGTCTTACTCAACTTGCGTACGCACTTGTAAGCGACCCAATTCCTAGTTAGCATAGTATAATCTGACGAAATTAAACCTATGAGTACACCAATGTAGCTTGCTTGAATTTCAATCTTATAATTGTGCATATTTAATTAAATAGTTTTTTTTGGCTTTGAACGTTACATCAGGTGTGTTTTGGTGCCATCTAACATGCACCTGTGTATTATAGGCTATGCGTACCGAGACTACCTATCACATCTTATCGTCTTGATCTATGACGAGTGATTCCAGCCCTACCTAGCAACATTTGGTATTTATGCACTTATCAGATATTTTCCAGTGCCATCTAACATGCCCCATGCGTGGCCTTACGTATCAGACGTACCTCAGCACAACCGACAATATTCTCCAGCTATTCCGCATGTGTGCAATGTTCGAGGGAGTACCAACTGATCAATTTTTTTTTTTTTTCATGCGACCGTCTTCACGTTAGATGAGCCCTAGTGCTACCTGACACGTCCGTGCGTCTTTGGCATATCACAGCATCACCTAAAATTGTCCTCACACGTCCGTGAGCATTTACTGTGCTCGAGTGCAACCTTGTTTGTCCCTCGCAGAAGGATGCGAGTGTTAGGCAGAACCTAGTGACAGTGTCTTCCACCGTAGACCTTACGTGCTCTGGCACCAGCCAGACAACTATTGAGCTTCTCTTACACCCCCACGAATGCGTCCGATAAATACTACTTGTGTACACAAACGGTTATGAGGGTATGCAAGCGTAGGCAAACACGTCCGAGGAATACTAG